CCCCCCCCTTTCCTCCTAGCCTCCCTCAGTTTTTCCCTCTCCCACGCTGAAAAATGAAGATTTTTCTGGGAAAAATATCATCGATTTGCCTATATATTTTAATGGAATTTTTCTCCTCTCTTCCCTCAGTTTTCCCTCCCCCTTCCGCCCTTTTTGCTTTTGCAATCGCACCGCGTCTTACGGTCTTAAAGTGTTCCAATTACTGTAAAATTGGTAATGTAATTATGTTAGAAGAGAGGAAGAATGACGGAAGCACTTTCACTGATGTATGGGATTGATTCACCGGCACGAAGTTTGGTTAATATTCCAGCCGAGCAGGACAGGACGCTGTTTCTTGTCGGTACTTTATCGCTAAAACAACAAGAAAACCAGGTATACTTTGTGCTCGCAAAAACTCTTTTGTAAAATGATTTTCTGTAAATGTACGTATTTAAAAAAAGATGTAAAATGGTGGGAGTTTAATAAAATACAAGAAAAACTGAAAAACAATTTAAAAAAATGCGGAAAAAAAGGGGGAAAATAAAAAATCGCTAAATCACCTTCTATGAACCCGTTTTAGTGATGTTATTGGTATGCTTATCTCGTGTTAGTATATTTTTCTGTGGTGGTAACCCCGTGTCACCGGTGTTATTTGGGTTGCTCACACAGATTCTCCAGTCCTTGGCTTTCCACCAATTGATTCTTACCACCTGTTCGTCGTATACATTGGCAGACCCGGGACAGGATCCTGGAGGAGGAAGGGGCGGCAATGGAGGGTTCGGGAGAGAGTTTTCTTTACTTTTAGCAATAGAACCTAGACTTTTGTAGCACTGGTGCTTGTGTCGCTGGGGGAGGGGGCGAAAAACCCTCTTTTCCCATGAATCCGCCCATGAATTTATAAACGCCGTCTTTTCGGAGATTGTCTAAACGGTGTTTATCGCAGATTCTAATTGGTCGATTATTGATAGCCATTATAAAACACCCAACATGTAAACATGAGTGAGCCATCAGATCGGTTATACTTTCCCAAATTTTTCTTTTTATGCGTTTTTTGCAGCTATGCAATGCAGAA